AATCATAGAATCAACGGCCCGATTCTGCAATTCGTTTTCGGAAAGAAGTGGCAGGAACCTAGCATTTCTGACCTTCATTGTTGGCACGTCCTCCCTTACCTATTAAGATCTGCACGTTGCTGACCTACTCACGTTGGCATAGTACATCGGCGACGATTTCTACGCCATCTATATCGTCTCCTAGCCCATCCAAGTACATCGATTACTGCGTCACAATCTCTCATGAAGCTGGTTCCTCAGATATGAAAGCTATTGAGGAGCTAGTCTATCAGAAGGGTGTTTCGTCCATCAATCATACCGAAGCAAGCCCGCTCTGGAATCAACCGATTGCCATTTCCATCACAACCACTGGGAGCTCGGCCTAGGAACCAGCCCTCAAACGTGTTGGCATCTGGACATCGGCACATTGGCAGAGTCTACGCAATTTCAGGGGTAGATGGCGCTTCGACCTCATCCAGTTCTTACCGGCAATCATCATCCAGGATGGGCAATGGAGTCTCGTCGCGACGACGCAACAGAACGGTCATACTTCTCTGTTCCGTCGGCGTTATCTTGGAGACACACAGACAGTTCGGGGAATCTACCGGTTGATTGCTTCCTTGCAGTTGTTAAGAGCCTGGGTTGTAGACACGTATTGGCCCGCGTTCAAGAACGATCTCATCGATCAGTGAATTCGATGCTAGGTCCTCCGCATCATCGCCATCAACACCCTAGATGAACAAGCCAATAGGGGTAGCTGGGAGGGTGCTGGGATTGATTGAGATGCACAAGCAAGCAAAACTTGGTGTCGAAAAGAATAACTGGGTTAGCTATGGTCAGGCTCTGCTCCAAGTCGAGCGTAGAAAGACACGCCGACTCCGCAACCACTTTAGTTTGAGACTTCTAAACTCGTCACTAGCACAGCGAATACAACACGGAAACATATTTGACAGGTAATGTTTATTAGTATGAAGTATCAACTGCGAGTTAAGTGACCATGCCGCATCACTCGCTTCCGCTACTTTCGCGGATCCCAGTCGGTGTCGATCTCCTTCAGCAGCCCCTTGATGCCCAAGTTCTTGGACCCGAGGATGTCCTCTAGACTAATGAGCTTGAAGCTCGCCGCGTTGCTCGTCGTCCCATCCGGTAGCTGGTTCGCGTCATCGTGCACAACTACCAGACCGTATGGAAAGTCGTCATTGAGGGCCACGCCGACGGCCGCGAGTCCATCCGTGTTGCTGACGGCGTCAATCTGGCTGTCCGAAGAGGCCGTCACGGTAAAGGTGGTGACGTAGGCGTGCGGTGAGGCGCGGCGGTAGACGTTGTACGCGCTGACGCCCTGGCACGATACCAGGATGAAGCCCTCGTCGGGGTTCGGGCCGACTACCAGCGTGACGCCCTCGACGTCGCCGTAGAGCTGGCCGTCGCCAATCTCAGCGACGAGCACACCAGAGTCTCCGGCGTCCGGTTCCGCGCCGTATCTCCACAGTGCCCGGGGCTCCTCGCCGATGAAGATCCATCCGTTCTCCTCGTCAGTGACGCAGCCCTCGACCTGGCCGCCGCTGCCTCCAGTAAAGTCTCTGACCAAGGTCGTCTGCAGCTCACCATCGGCCGTGGACGTCAGCTCGTATTGCAAATAGCGGGCCGACTTTTCATTGACAAATAGGTACTGCTTTCCCGTGCTAGGCGAGCGGTAGGTGCACGAGCCGTAGACCTCGAAGTCGTCGACGACGGGGTGGCTGCCGCCCGCGATGTCTACCAGGGTACCGTTTGAGCGCATCTCGAAGAGGCACAGCGTGTCGTCTTCACGGCACGCGGCAAACGCCAGGTCGACAGTGCGGTCGCCGGCTTCGAAGCCGTAGATCATGTCCACGTTGTTGGGCTCGCCGGCAGTGAAAGCCTGGAGGAGGTTGCCGGACAGGTCGAAGACGCCGAGACCGGCCGCGTCGCCTGACTTCATGGTTGCGACGATGCGCGACTCTTCACGCGACACGGGCGAGATCCAAATGGCCGGATCGTCACCATCGCCTGGCCGCGCCTCGGTCTCGTACGTCGCCTCGACCAGGAGGAACGAGCAGTGCAAGCCGCCCCATCCCTTTTCGCACTTGCAGACGTTGGGCCCGACACACTTTCCTCGGCCGGAGCAGTCGTCCGTGCAGGTATACTTGGTGCACTGCTTTCCAGCGAAGCCCGAGAAGCAGTCGCACTTTTGCTGCTTGTTCTTGAGGCAGTATCCGCTCTCGGAGCATGTGCTGCATATGGTGTCGTTCTTGGAGCTGACCTTTTCCTTGCGGGGGTTGTATGCCGTGTTCGCCTTGATGCCGGCGGCGCTGAGGATGTCTTCGAGGGACGTGACGCCAAAGCCCTTGCCCTCGTCCGTCTCGATCGCGTAGGTCAAGACACCAGCGGGGTACCTGGAAGTGGCGGCCTGGTAGATGCTGAGGCCCGAAACCTCAATGTCTTCCCGCCCAGTCAAAGTCACGGTAGCCTTGAGCGAGAAATCTTTGTCGTAAATGGCGACCTTGTTCTCCTGGGCGACGAAAAGGTAGTCGGCGCCCTTCTTGGTGGAGACGTACACGGCCACGCCTGTCACGTCGTCCTCGGCTTCGCCAAACTGGGTGATTTCAGGTGCCTCGGTGCTCTCCTTGAGCGAGAACACGTAGACGTCCTTGTCGTCGCCTACGGACAGGTACATGCGCGACTGTGACCGCGACACGGCGCATCCAGAGACCTCAAAGGACGTGTCAAAGGTTTGGACCTATCCCAATTAGCAATACTCATCTGAAGAACGGGCTTGCTTACCTCGACAATCTCAACCGACTTCCCGGTCTTGCGTACAAGCAGCTGCACGGCTTGGCTCTTTCCGAAGAGGTAGAGGTAGTCGTTGCCCGCCTGGCTCTTCCATGAGCAGAGAGCGGACCAGTCTCCAAGTGCTTTGAAGTCGGCACCCTTAATGTGCGTAATCTTAGGCGCTTCAAAGAGGCGAATAACAGAGTCCGGCTGTGCAATAGTCGCAACTAGATCTCTGTCCCCGACGTCATGCAACGTCGCGACGAGCTTCGTCCTGCCCGTCGTCCGCGCGGTGACTTGGGAGAGCGATGGGGAATCGAGGCTAAAGACGTGGAAGCCGCCTGTGTCAGGATCGCCATCATTTCCGATAAGCAGCGGCTTTTTGCTAGAGTAGTAGACGGCCGTAAAGTCGGATTCTACCTCAGACGTGATGGCGGTAACGTTGACGTCCAATTCCACCACAGCGGCAGAGGCGAACCACGCCTGAAGGCCGACCGCTAGAAGGCCGACGATGCTAGAAGCCACCATGATGAAGGCAATACAGGCACTCCGAGACTGCAAAACCCGAGACTGGAAACCCCGAAGCTGGGAAGAGGAGTTGGTTACGGGTACCGCATCTCTTCCCTTCGCGGACCTCTCTGAGTTATAGGTCATCGTGGTCGCATTCTCCACGTGTATCAGCTACACCCGGCCTCGGAAGCTGCTGTGGAATCGCCTGTTCCCCTAGCCCATCGATCAATAAACAAAAAACCGCTCGTGCCGGGGGCATCCCGTGCAATTGGATGGTACACTCGGCGGCAATACTACTCAAAGCGACCGACTCCGAACATGGGTTGATGAGATGAGGCAGGACGAACCTTTGTGAATGCGTCCGTGTCCGAGAGGGGCGCGTCGATCCGATGGCGACGCTCGTGGTGAGGAAGCGGGATTCCATTGGGCGAGACTACAACATGGAGTGACATTCCGCACTGGCGGCCCTTGCATTTGTCCGCTGTTTTGTCGAGGTAATGCCTGTAGCTTCGGTCATCGCATCGGGGATAATCGCTCGACAATGGTCCCGTCCCCCGCGATCATGGCCGTTGTATCCACATTGTAAGCCTAAAAAGAACTCTAGAGTGGGTTTTGTGTGAGTCCGTCATTTTAGCTGCCGCGTTGCCTCACGATGTAATCGCGGACCATCGCCGCATCTCGGTGAGCGTTTTGATCTAGCACGCTGGCGTGCAAGTTGTCTTGCGATGCGACTTGCTACTTCACGATTGAATGCGTCATTTTCCGACTCTTGATCTTGACGTCTCTAAAATGGCTGGGAGGCTTATTCTTAGAATGGAATGGCCCAGAATAGAAAAGTAGACTTTGTTAGACCACGATTGTTTCGGAGTGCAGGGTAGGCGCTCATCACCATGAAACCCGTTTGTCTATGCCACTGTCCAACCACCACTGGTTTGTTTCGGAATGTTTTGATCTGGTCATGCATACATTAGAGTAATAGTCCTGGTAATCAACTTGCTGTGCGGGTCCCCTGAATCTCCCTTAGCCAGCTGGACGTCCGTTCCATACATTTTTATTTCCGGCTACAAAGGGTTTCACGATATCTCCATGGCGTGTTCTCACCTTGCCTTTGCCTGCCTTGGGGGACTTGGCCCTATATTCATTTAGGATTACGCTTTGATTTAACAGACTTTGTCTCCTCTCGCCTTAAACGTTCCGCAGGTATGATGCGCATGGGCCTGGTCGGGCCGGCTGGGAACCCGGAGGTTGCATTGTACGGACTGAAGCTAAAATTACCGTCATTCGCACTTTATTGGAACACAAAAACGTGACATCTTGCATCAAGAGACGGGTAAACGATGAATAGTAGATATGAAAATTGTCTGAACATGGGTCTGACGCTGCAGGCATGACCCCCACGTTCAGGTCGAGCCTTGGCCGATCTTCCCCACACGACCCTTAGCCGGGAGTGGAGATGAGGCTCTGCCATGTCTCATCAACGCTACCGTCATGACCTTGCATGCATCACAGCCCCGAAGGAATGTCGTGAATATCAAGAAGAGGTTTTGAATCCGGGCACTATGCTCTTGAGACTTAGGGAATGTGTGCTCAGTGAAAGGATGCAGGGAAGCCGATGCTAAAGGCCGTGAACAACCGACGTTGATTCGGCTGCATGATTGTTCATGTCGCCTTACACTGCCAAGTCGGAAACAACAGGAGGTCGAAAACTCCAAAAAAGGACTCGCCCGTACCCACGAGTTGAACAAGGGACCTCAAACCACGATTACCAACTCATATGCGAAAAGAGAGGGACGTCTCAAGTGGAATGCGTGCTACCACTACACCACACGGGCTTTCAACTGTTGTTAACAAATGACTGCTTGTTTTGACTGATAGAGCTATTACAGTGCGCTATTAGAGCCAATCGAGGCAACTGGATCGAGCTTCAGGTTGCCGATTTTGAGCCAATGGACGTGAGCAGCCATGGTCTCCCCCTCGAGACTCACCCCTTCCGCGACTGATCTCTCACTAAACAGGCTGGATTGTCCATGGTGTGATATTTAATAATCCATCCTTAATCTAAATGGCCATTGGTGAGAACCTTATGGCCTAATGTTCAGATCTTGTGGTCAAGTTCCAGCACGAGTGATTCCTCCTTGCAGGGACCATGTCACGAACCACCAGATGGCGGGCTTAGCCACCTTCGAGGTTTCGACACCTTAGGCAGCCTTGACACATGGACGAATCATGGCGCTCGAGCAGATAAGAGTAAGGCTCCTTCCACGATGGTTGCGTCAGAAAACCTGGGCTGCCTCAGGCAGGGCAAACTCCAACCTCCCTTTATCGCGGAGGGTTCAAATTCTTTCCCCTTCAACTCAGCCCCAACGGCCGACCACGCAGACAGCAGCCAACCTTTTTCTCTCGGAGTGGATGCCATCTTGACCTCACGCACTGTTTTGCGTCCTCATTTGCCCCTTGGAATTTGTGACATCGACTTCTCACTGCAGTCATTTTGACTTGACTCCCTTTTTCTGTTCAATTCTCCGCCATCCGCTCTGCGTGCATGGTCCATTTCATCACCACCCTACTCACTTGATTGAACACAACTACCGCCGAGATGGCGTTTGTAGACGATATGAGAACCGTGGCCGATTTCGTGCGAGCAGTCAATGCCGCCAGCGGCAATGGTGGCCGGTCTGGTGGTCATCGTGGCAGACGTGGCTCCCAGAGAAGCAAGAGCCGGAGGTGCTACAATGTTTGTATCCCCCACCTCACTTGGTGCACTGCCAAGCTAATATGATTTGCCTACACAGTGTCGTGAGACTGGTCATATCGCCAGAGACTGTCGCGAGAGCCGGAAGTGTCGTGATGTTTGTATCCCCAACCTTACTCAATGTACCGTCAAACTAACATTATGTGCCTACCTAGTGCGGCGGGTATGGTCATGTGACTAGCGAGTGTTCTGTCAGACGGCTTCGTAGACGCTCAGCGTCTCCACGGACCCGAAGGAGATCTGCGTCCCCTAGACGCAACCCATTTGATTCCTCTGAGCGCCGCCGGTCACCGTATCGGCGGTCGCCGTCCCCTCGCGCACCCACCCAGGAGCAACAGCAACAACAACATCAGAAAGGAAATCAGCCAGAGCAGGATCCACAGGAGAAGCAGAATCAGCAAGATCTGGATGAGCGACTTGACGTCGAAGAAGACGAGATTATGTGGGCTGACATACTTTGACATCATCCATCTTGTGTCACAACAATGGGCGCGACCCTAGTGGAGCTCAGAACTATGGATCAAAGGACGATGATTGAGTTACGGTCACAAGATTGCTTGATTCTTTCGTTGGAATGTACAGTGTTCAAGGTCGCCGTATTTGGCTCTCCTATCTCAAGACTATAAGTCTCCATTTGTTCTTATGCAATTGAACGTCTGGAAGTCGTCTTCATTTGCCGACATCACGTTAAAATAGAATGTGCACCTTGGCAAGTCACGACAATTCACCAGTACACCTAGGGCAACAACAGCTGTGACGCTGTCGACCTCGCCGGTAGCGAGACAACGGCCATTAGGAACCGCTCTCGAGACTATGTTCATTCATCAGTTTCTTCAGGAGAATGCTTTGTCGAGATGCATGACCGGTTGGTAGGAGTAACAAGCCACAGTCATCAGGTATCTGCGACACGACAGTCCAACGTACGGAAGGCTGGCCGACATCACCCGCATGAGAGGGGTGTCAGGGGGCGGTGAGGCATGATGTGAGTCTCCTCCTTTTGCGGGAGGCGAGAGGTGAAGGAGGGAGCGAAATGAAGGGAGAGGAGGAGGAGGAAGGAGACGAGTTTTGACAAGTGTCAGAAGCAAGCCCTTATCGACAGCGGAAAGGAAGAGTACAGCAAAGCGTGTTGCAGTCGAAAGCATCGTGCCGACATTAGAGACAGCAAGGCGGGGAAAAACACGAAATCTGAACAAGCAACCAACTAATGAAGGATCTTCATCAATTGACAACAATCGCCTGTCAATGAGCCCAGTAGATCGCTTTCGTAACCGAGACATTGCGAATCATGGCCACTTTAACCACCCGACTGCAGGAGTGGGACATGGGCAACCCTATCACCACCACCGTCATGGACGATTGTTCCGAGGCTTCATACCCTCGGCGCCTGTACCCTGACTGTCGCAAGCCTCGAATCTTGTCAACCCAGTTTTATTTGACCAAGAACAGTGTAAGAATCGATTAATTAATCATCCCTGCTGGAAATGGGAGCGACTGAATCGCGTCTTGGTCGGGAAGACACATTGTGGCTTGAAACTGTACTGCCCATTACGCTCCAGGCCGCTGTGATCTTGCTAATCTACTCAACAAACCTGCTTAGAGCCCACGCCCTGGGACGGACCATACTACTTGCTCAAAGCCTAGCACCATATAATAAGACGGATTTGGTGTATCCAAATTAGACAACGATCAGCCCGCCCCGGAATCAGCAAAGGAGTCTTGTGGGCCAACATCGTATCGCTGGAGCGCTCCGATGACACGTTCCCAAGCCACTGCCTGGCTTCACGCGTGAAAAGAAGACTGATTTGCCGCAGATCAAGCATTTCACTCATTTTTCACCCGAACATCTTCTTGCACTAATGTGCTACTTCGTACCTGGCTGTGGATGTGACTACGTCGTTAGGATACACGACGCAGACTGCTTGGCTTATAGGTGGGTGAAATGTCAAACCCACAGAATAATTCAGTTCATGTATCTAGGAAATGGGTATAGTAGCTTTGCTATGGACAGCATTTATCCAAATATTAACATCCTCTTTCTTCTTTAGTAGCCGCGCGACGCCAGGTGGAGCTCCGACGACGACTTTGACAAGTTCCCTCCGTCAAACGTCTTCGCTTGCCCGATCGTCGAGTTCGCCGACGACTTCCTGCCTATGCTCATGCCGTCATCATCCTGTCTCATCTCTCGGTGGACGACAATCTCGGTCGTCATCATTACCCCGTCGTCGCGGTGAATCGACGTTCCACGTGGTTGATCTGAAGCTGAGCCTTCTTCGCCGCCCATGGCGTAGGCTTGGTACGAGACGTCGCCGACGCCTTTACCGCCTGCGTCGCTGGCGTATGTATCGAGTGCGATTCCGGTTCTGATGTTTGTAGGTTGCGTTCGGCTACGGGGCCCAGAGCTGTTGTCCTTGTTTCCGGTCGTCATCTCAACTAGACGGTTTAGAATGGTGAACTCGAGCTTCAGCTTCGTGCTGTAGACGAAGGCCTTGTAAGAGGTCTGGTACTGGTACTGGTCGGCGTACTCGAGCCCGAGGATGGTGATGTCGAGCAGGATGATGACGAAGTTGACAACGATGAGGTGGTTCATGAGGCGGCGGCTCGCTTTGCCGTTGCCCATTGTCTTCTCGAGCTTCATGAGCTTGACGGTTTCGATGATGTAGAAGCTCGAGATGATGATCTCCTGGATGAAGAAGATGGTGACCTGGATCTTTTCCATGATGGAGTATGGCTTGACCCAGGGTTTGGGGTTGTCGGAGAAGGAGCCGTAAATCATGGGGATGATGGCGCCGTGGCAGGCGACGGCATCGATGATGATCATCCATAAGATAATCTTCAGTCGGAACCGATTGCGTAAAACGAGATGAAGTCGAGACCACAGCACCAATGACTGGCCCGTCACCATGGCTATCCAGCCCCCAGCAATCAAGGTCGCGGCGAGGTATCCAAGCGACGCCGGCGCAAAGTACTTTACGAGGAAGCCAGCGCAGTAAAACGGAATCCCCCACGACGCACCCAAGAAAGACCAAAAGTAGAGACCAGAGTGGCGTTTGAAGGTGCCCCAGATGATAAAGGTGAGCTCGATGACATTGTACATGGCGAGCGTCAGGAAGACGATGATGATGTAGATGGCGATCTGGGAGTACCCCTCCGTCCCGGAACCGAAGTCGCTCGCCATGATGAGAAGGATGGAAGGGCGGTTGTGTTTCTAGAGGTTGAATGAGTTGAAGGAATGGCGGCCTCAGGTCGAGAGCCTGCAACTTGAGGGAAGTAGTTGGAGCGCAAAGACAAAGCAAACGGTCGTAGAACATGGAAGATGGATACTCGAGGTTCTATACTAGTCGTGGCGGACATGCTGCGTCACCCGCCTCCTCGTTATACCAGTCGGCTTTGATCACCACTCACATCGCTTGGAGCCATATTTCTTCACTGGCCAGTTTCCTGGCCACAAGTTTAGAGTACTGGCAATGCAGTTCCAGCATCTCCCAAAGCGCAGGTACACGCTACGTAAGCACATGCCCGAAAAAAGGACCGGCTTCGTCTACTCTCAAGCCACCCGTTAGCGGAAGCTAAGGGACCCGGGTTGCACCGGGGATCCGGGGATGTCTCATCATCAAGCCCATGGGTTATGCGGACCTCTTTTGGAAACATCAAAAACCGGCGCACCTTGGCAAGCCTCGCAGGCTGCTTTGTACGGCCGACAACACACCCATAAAACCTGGGGAGCACGAGTCAGGCCTGACTCGCAAACCCTGGGACTGGGACAGGGGCAGATCGGGGACGACCAACCACGGCCCACGAGATTTGCATCGCTGTCGATCGCTTTCTGCGGGGGGACCGGGGGGGATGAGAAGAGCCCGAGAAGCCAAAGTGTGCCAAGGAGCCCAAACAAACGCTACGGGGACATGATGCGGAGCAAAATGATGAAAAGGCGCGCGTGTTTGAGGCTTTATCTTCAGCGGGGGCCACCGGGCGCTGCATCCGCGATAATACAGGACGGCTCGGAAGCGCGTTCCGTCATTGGGATAATTTAGTGTCCAACTAGCTGTTAGCGCTATGCAGCCTGACATTTGAACGAGTGAG